ATATAATATATATATATATATATATATTGTATATGTATCTGTGTGTGTGTGTGTGTGTGTGTGTGTGTGTGTGTGTGTGTGTGTGTACACACACACACCACACACACACACACACACACACACACACACACACACATATATATATATATATATATAATATATATATATATGTATATATATATATTATATTTATATATATACATATATATATATATTATATATAATATATAATAATATATATATATATATTATACATATATATTTCATAGAGACATAGATAGATGGGAATATGTATGAATTGATGGAAAGATGAACGAGATATATATAATCTAAATATAACAATGTGTTTCATGATTTGCCAGCCAACACACCTCCATATATGTACCCCAGTTACATATGCTGAGCTGAAGGAAATTCACACGAATGGAAAATACCCAGGGAAAAACGAGCTTGAAAACTTTCCACTCTGAGCATCATTTTCTAATTTCTTTCGTTTAACAGCAAGACCGCGGTTGCGCAATGTGGATTTTACGTTAGTTTGCAATTTTCCTATATCCCTCTCGCCTCGTTGCATTCATTATTCGCAAGTCATTTAACTTCGGGGTTTCGACATTTCGGTTTTTATCATTTCGTTTTTTTTTTATTTGCCGTTTTTTCCTTCTTTTGTGTGTGTTTATCTATTCTAATGCTTTGCTTTATCCGGCAAGCAGGTTTTCTTCGTGTTTCTTATCAGCAAACTGTATGTTAATTATATAGGAGAAAAAGAAGAGGGGAAGATTATGATAATTATGCTGAAGATGATACGACGGAAAATAAGAAGATAAAGAGATGGAAGGAGAAGAAAAGATTGTAATGAAGAAAACTTAGAAATAAAGGGAGATGAGGAAAGAGAGACAGGAAGATGAAGACAGCAAGGAAGAAGAGGAAGAAGAAGAAAAGGTACGTGTAGTAAAAGATGATAATAAGGAAGAAGAAATAGATGTTAGGGGTGGCGAAGATGACAAAATAAAATGAAGAAGAAAAGAAGAAAGCGGAAGAGAAGGACGACAAAGATGACGAAAGAATAACGATAAAGGACAAGAAGAAGAGAAAAATGAATTTGAAGAAAAAAAAGTAACGGAAGATGCGAAAGAGGAATAAGACAAATGAGAAACAGCAGAAAAATTATATATGTTGAATTAGAAGAAATTGATATTGCTGATATGCTAATGAGGAATGGAATTTCCGATCTTGTAATCAGATTCCCAAACAATCATTCAAAGCATAAGGAAATACTCGCGTTGAAAGGTACACCTCCAAACAAACAGTGCTACAAACAAACACGAACAGACCTACAAACAGACTGAAGCACACCAACAAACAAACACGATCAAATGAAAGCACACTTACTAATAAGCACAAATACATCTACAAACAAACACAAGCACACTTGCAAACGCAAACACAAGCACACCTACAAACACAAACAGACCTACAGACAAACTCAAGTACACCTACAATAAACACAAACACACTTACAAACACAAGTGCACCTTTAAACAAACACAAACACACCTACAAAAACACAAGAACACTTACAAACAAACACAAGCATACTTACAAACAAAAACAAGCACACTTACAAACAAACCCACACACACGCAAACAAGCAAACACAAGTACTCTCCCACATACGGCACATACCAATACCAATGCACACGCGCACACACACATTCACACACATAACACTCGATACGCTCGCTCTCTCGCTACCTTTCGCTCGCTCAAAACACGCTGCACGGAACCAGGTTGGTCAGTAAGCTCCGGGAGCTGGGAGAGAGCAGGTACCACTACACATTCTCTGCGTCCCTGTCATGTGGGGTCAAGCGACTGTCATGTCCTCGTGAGAAAATCGCCGGGTTGGATACAAGTTCCACTGGCATCCAGAAGGAACTTGGGTTGTTATTTATGATTCTTGGCGAGAGAACTGGATTGTTTAAGGTATGGTAAATGGTGGTGATGTGTTTGTATAGGCATGTGTATGTATGGTGTTTGTGATGGGAGGGTGGTGGTGCGGCGTGTGTGTGCGGGAATCAGCGCGAAAAATTTGAAAGATGTTAGTGAAGAAATGTAATGAAAGTTTAACTACAAAAGAAATAAAATGTTTCAGGAAAGTTTGTCATAATAGATGTTGATATCGACCTAATGTTCTTGGTCGAAGGAACGTACGATACATAAATGAATCAGTAAATAAGAGCAAAAATATGCTGGATGGATTCCTCAGCCTCCATTAGGAACTCACATTATCTGAGCTTTACCACATTTGATTAGAGAAGCAATCTCGAACCGATAACAATTACTTTGACGATGGCGATAATAAGACGATTGTTTTGATAGCTCAATGTTGGGGCTTTTTCTCATTCTTATGAAGATGTCTTGTAATAGGTCAGGAGTCGGTTATATTTAGCAAACCTGTTTTAAAAATCAATGTGCACACCGATGAAAAACTGAGACGCCGCGT